AAATAAGTTGTGGTTTTTTACCAAAAAAAAGAAAAAAGCAAAGAATACTTAGCATAGTTTTCCAGAAAATCCCATGAAAATGGAATTAAGGACATGCGCTTTGCTTTCTTTTACTTGCCATGTGTTCTGTTCTTGACTTTTAGGTGAATATGTTCTCTGCTAGGAAGTTGCCTGGAATACACAGAACGATCAGCTTCCATAATTTCAGATCCCATTCTGCATCCAGAACCTCTCCAAACTTGGCTTTCGTGCCAACCTGCCTTCCCCCAGATCCTATAGAAGTAGAGAAGCTGCAGCACTTTGTTTCTAACTTCAAGAGGCTGTTTGTAATAACTGGAGCTGGGATCTCAACTGAATCAGGGATCCCAGATTACCGCTCTGAAGGCATTGGGCTCTATGCCAGGACAGACAGACGGCCCATGCAACATGCTGAGTTCATCCGGAGTGCCAGTGCCCGGCAGCGGTACTGGGCAAGGAACTTTGTGGGCTGGCCCCAGTTCTCCTCCTACCAGCCAAACATAGCACACTTGGTCCTAAGAGACTGGGAGAAGCTGGGGAAGCTGCACTGGCTGGTGACCCAGAACGTGGATGCCCTTCACACCAAGGCCGGGAGCCAGCGCCTGACAGAGCTGCACGGCTGCACGCACAGGTAATGTCTGGTGGTAGATGATGGTTGATCCTCTGGTCGCTTGTTCAGGGTGACTGTGTTAGATGCTGAGAAAGGAGGCACAATGTCAATGCTATGTTCCTGAACATGAGATGCTCAAAGGTGGTGTTTGGCTGGGGTGGAGGAAAAGATCACAGAACAGTGCTGTTCTCAGCACACTATTTAAGAAACATGACCACTACTCTGTCTTGTTAGAGCAGTGTTTGTATCATTTCCCCTGAAGCCTGAATCAGCCAGAAACTCCCCTTTCCTTGCTACAACAAACGTCCTCTTAGTGAAGAGGACAAAAGGATTATCCAGGGCTATGCAGCATGATAGTGCTAGAAAAGCACAGGATGAGTGGACTGGAGAAGGGCCACCACAGCCTGGCAGTGATCACACAGTTTCCAGATGCAAAAGCACGTCCTGAACTGGGAGAGAGGGTGCCGGTAGGGTTCAAAGTGCTTCCTTTAGAGCATTCCTACAGAGCAACAATGGGAGGTAGAAAGACAGCTGCTTGACCTGTACTATTTGGTAAATAAATGTGGATGATGACAATAGACCTTCCAGGCCTTCTAAGGAAAAAATAGCAGACTCCAGCTCTTCAGCTCACGTGGAACTCTCTGTTAAGACTTTCCTCTGAATTTCAGGGTTTTCTGTCTGGCCTGTGGAGACCAGATCTTGCGCTCTGAGCTTCAGGAGCAATTTGAAGCTCTGAATCCTACCTGGAAAGCTGAAGCATTCGGTGTGGCTCCAGATGGAGATGTCTTCCTGACGGATGAGCAAGTGTGTAATTTCCAAGTCCCAGCCTGCTGTAAATGTGGTGGAATCCTGAAGCCCGACGTAACATTCTTTGGAGACACAGTTTGCCCAGAGAAAGTGAATTTCGTGCATCAGCGCCTGGCAGAATCAGACTCCATGCTGGTGGCAGGATCCTCTATGCAGGTAAGTAGGTTTTCCTCACACACTGCATTTCCTGTTTCTGTGGTACTCTGCCTGCAACAATCCTTGCTCCCACGATTTAGGACTAGTGCTTGTGGATCCGAACAGCCTCTCCAGAGCTTCTTTGTATTTTACATTTACTCTGGTTGGGATCTGGCTTCACAGTTGGCCTGTTTGGGCTTCCCTGTCACTCTGTTGCCAGTCTACTTCATGCTGCTAGAAATAACTCCATTCAGATCTCTCTCTTGTGCCTCCTCCATCAGGAAATTGTAGGTTCACAGTTGTCCCTAAAGCCAAGATGCCTGATACAGTTCAGTCCCGCAGAGATCACCACCTCATATCTTTGTGCTTAGTTTTTTTAGCTTTTGGCAGCATTCTGGGCCTCATGGCACACTGTGTGAAATACCAGATTTTGGGTCCTCTAATTCCTAATTAAATGCTCAATAAGAGAGCAGAAATATCTCTGCTTTCTTCTTAGGATTGCCAGGATTGTCCTTTGTATCACAATGTGTTTTTTCCATTAGCCTCTTATCTATAAGGTAAGGTAGTTTAGAAACCCCTGTTGTTTAACCTGTGGAAGCTTTTGGAATAGAGTTTGTCTAAGAGCGTTTTCTTTCCAGGAACAAGTTCTACTACATTAAAAAAAAATACTCTTAACACCTCCCAGAACAAGGTAAAACCAAGGCTGCCTGATTGTTGATTCTCTTGGCTTCAGGATACTGGAGACAAATTCCTTGAACTTGCACTTCTTAAGCGTATAATCCTTTGTACAGGAATGATTGAAATGCCTTAGGTTCATTCTTGTCCTACCTAAGCTGAGCCATGTGAGAACCATCAAAGTAGAAGCGTTTAAGTGCCAGTGATAACTAATAAAAACTGCTGCAGAGATTTACTGAAAGACATTTCCCATTAATGCACTGTGAAGTTTCAATTTCTGTGAAACTGCAAATCCTGCACTGACAGAGGTTAAGAGCTTTTCTTTTCTATGCACTCCTGGATGACTTCCTGCCTGAACAACTGCCTAATACGGCATGTACATACAGCACCTTTTCCCACTGCCAACAGCAACTGGTTTTACTTTCCTTACTCCTTTCTGTAGCAGTTCTGCTGCCTAAGATGCTGGAAATTTTGTCTTCTGGTATTCCTGCAGGTATACTCTGGTTACAGGTTTGCTCTTGCTGCCCGGGATAAGCAGCTGCCAATTGCAATCCTTAACATTGGCCCCACAAGGTTAGATCACTTTGCGTCCTTAAAACTGAATGCCCGCTGTGGAGAGCTGCTGCCTTTGATTGTTGCGCCTGACCCAACAAGCTGAGCTTCAGGAGCCATCAGGGGTAAAATTATTCCTACAAGGTGAGTACCTGCCCTGGTCAGTCACCTTACAGGGTAAGAAGGTGGCTTCCCATCAAATGCTGAGACTGAGATGTGCTGATGGGCCTTGATACTGTTTCTCATGAGCTTAAACAGAAAGTGCTAACGTTATCAGAAAATAGAGCAAGAGTAGCCAGAAGACCCAGCAGCTTTGAGTTCCAATCCATTTATCTCTATCAGAAACCTTAAGGGGATCATCTGCAGATTCGGAGAACGTGATCAATACTCTTGCCTTTGCAACTGACAATTCAAAAGCTCTGCCTGGTTGAATTGATCCAGCTAATCCTCATCAAAACAATGCTGTTTAAAAGAATCAATTCCACCTATAAAGCAGCTTTTTCCCTCCTCTCCTGCAGGACTCATCGTCTTAAAAGGGGAAAACCTCAATGTAAGAGGCAGCTGAGATCCAACATACGGCCCTTGATAGCACCAGGAGAGGGCAGCAAGCCCCGCACATGTCAATCTGACCAGCTTTCTCCATTGAAGCTGTCTGCACTTACCAGGAAAAGAGGATAATAATGAAAAAACTTCTGGTTTTGAGGTTACTTTTGTTATGGTAAACAGTGCCTTTTCAATCACTGGGACAGGATAATCACACTATTGTATCTGATAACAAACTTCCTTTTTTATAACCGTCCCCAGGGAAGAACAAGGGACAGGGATTTTGACCTGGTAACTTGAGGCTATAGCACAGGCAGGCGATGTGGAAAACCACAGGCTCTGCTGAAGGATCCAGTACCACTAGTGGGAAACTGTAGAGCATGCAAAGAAAAGGAGGTAAAGGAACTGCAGTTGTCATTAAAATTAAAAAAAAGTTCAAAATAGAAGCTGAACAAGAATATTGCTCTTGTAAGATACTATTTAAAAGCACAGACTATAGCTGACATCTTTGGGAAGGAGGGGAGTCAGCATTTCTCTCCACTGGCAGTTGACAAGCTCAACTGCTTACTACCTGAACTGTTAAAAACTCGCATACTGGGGAGATGCCAGAGGAGTTACTTTAAGCTAATTTGACCAGCACTGCTTTCAGTGTGGCTGTGTCTTCCAGAATGCACTTCTTTAAAATGTTATTTAATTAATGAATATTTAAGTAGTGAATTAAAATTGTTTACAAGATTGATACTATTTGCATTGTAATTTCCTCTCCCTCCTATGATTGAAGTATAGTCTCAACAGCCAGTTCAGATTCATTTTTTCCATTGCAAAATGTAGGATGTAATTACTAACAGCTGATGAATTAAAGGCAAAATACAGCTAAATCTGTACAATAGGTCTCCCTCAGGAGGTAATCTGAAGCTATTAATAGATGTAATTTTCCACACTCCTAACAGGAGATCCCTCACTACTGAGTAACCACTTTTTGTTACTCCTTAGGGTGGTAATTTAAACCATATTAAACCATTTATGGGGTAAAAGACAGAATCTTGCTCAGACTGTAACACTTTGTGACCTGACCTTCTGCATAAATCTACCAATTCCCTCCTGGCTATGAAGGAGGATAATTGTTGGGGTCTTCCAAATGCCCCAGTCCTACTCTCCACATAACATATCCTGTATTAATATTTTGACAAGAACCATAACAAGCAATTGGAAATAAGGATGCCAGAGTCAGCTGCTGAAAGGTCAAGTAGCAAAGCAAGCACAACCGACCATGTCATGCAGAATTCTTTTTTGCTTTGCTGTTGGTTCAAATCCATGCCAGGCAGGAGGAAATAAAGCACAGAATCTGAGTGATACGGAGACACCCAGTTTCTGCAGAAGGTAGAGGGAAGTAAGATACATAATGCATTTCAAGATCTGGTTATTATGGGTCAGAGGAGAGATGGCTTCATTTAGAAGCCAAGCAAGGTAAGTTCAGAAGCCTTACTTGCATCCTGCTCTCGTTCAATGGAGATCTCACTTTCCAATGAGATGGCTATCCAGTGTTTGGTGGTGAAGAAAGCTCACAGAAATCACTCCATATTTAGCATAGTACAGCTGTCTGCTAAGCAAAGTTTTTGCAGAACCATTGCCAAGGCATAGCGGAGTCTCCACACACAGCCAGAGCACTTGCACAGAATGTTTATTCACGTATGTCTTTTCCACATAAGAAGAAACATTTATGCCTCCTTAGCAGAGGAACTGGGGCCAGGTTACTCGCTGTCTGTGTCCTCTTCTGTATCACCTTGAAACTTCCATGATGTAGATGTGTTAGAAACAGGGGCTGCAGGTTGAGTGCCAGTGGAGCCAGAAGACTGAGGTGTGGGAGCGTTTCCAGGAGGTCTAAAACAAGAAAACTTTCAGTGAGGACTTGGCATTGCCAATGTGACAGGTAACTAAACCTCCCTCAGCTCTCCCTGCCTCCAGTTCAGCAGCTGAGCCTGTAGGAGGGAGTCAGGGTCTCTTCAGCATCACTAATAAAACAGTAACATTACCCTGACCCTCCACTAATTATGCTATATACTTTTAAGTCACTAGGGCAATGACTTACAGTAAATGAACATTACAGTAAATTTCCTGTGTATGGTTTATGACTGTATGTTAATGAGCATATATACAACAAGTATATGAGGCTGAGATGAAGGAGTAAGGGGTTTTCTGCTAAGCTGATCCAGCAATATTAAAATTTACTTCTTTTAGAGCACTTCTCCCTTTAGCACGTTCTCCAAGACAACACTGAGTTTACTCAGCTGAGAAATGCCACAGAAAGCCTAAAGTTCCAAGAGCCAGATCTGCATCACTCTTAATGCTGAGTGACACCTTCCCCTGTCACTCCCTGGAGACTATCTGTGGGAAGATGCAATCCAGAGAGTTAGCAGCTATCAGAAGAGGCTACCTGCATTGCAGGTAGCTAGCAAAGACCTACCCTGAAAGTTTGTGTTTCTCAGCTTAATGGTCTACTTACTAGCCTGGAGAAAGCTATAGGTACCTCCAAGGCTGAGCGCTATAGGATGTGAATTAGCCATGCTGTGGGAAAACAACAAACTCAGTATTCAAACTAGTGTTCAGCTTTAGTCTCTCAGCCTATGGTGAATTTGGAAGGAAGACGGGGTTTTAAGGGGGGAGAAACATTGTTCCTAAAAGACAAAAGACGGTAATCTTGTTACTGGCTGAAACTGTAGAAAGATAGTGTTGCAGTGCCTGAGCAGGGTTGTCTTCCCCCATCACCCGGAAGGAAATGCAGATCCTTTCTACCTATCTTGTCTGCTTTAAGCCAGCCTTATCCTCCACATGATTCAATCCTTGCCTACCTTTTCTGGCTCACTGTTTTTAGACCAGTCCACCAGTATTTTAGATAAGGGCTTGAAGTTGAAGCTCTCTCCCCCTATGAAGAAAAGTACACATCAAACAGCACAAGGACAGGTTTTTACCATTAAATTAGTTGCATGAACAACTTATGCTCTTCCCTTTTCCTCACAGCTGTTCCTACTAGGACAAGCTCCTGAGGTTTGGATAAAGGAGCTTAGAGTGCCTTATAATGGATTTTTCTACCACTCCACTGAAAGCAGAGTTGGGTTTACCCAAAGCAAATAAAAGCTACTTCCTGTTTGGCAAATCTTGTCTCTCTGGGCAAATTCTCAGAGCAAACTGTAATCGGCTCCTGCAGCCTGAGAAGGGTATTTCACATGCTGTGCTCCAGTGAGGGCAGCATAGCCTGCAGGTGGCCCAGAGGATTTGTGCCTGGTGAGTATGGTGTAAGGGCAGCCTCCCACATCGAACAGTCAGATTGCTTCTACTGACAAACCTGCTTATTCATGACTTCTGGAAAAGGACCGAAGAACCTGGGCATGGTGAACTTGGGAGGTTCAGGAACCTTGGAATGAAGTTGATTTAATCTGTCTTGTAGAGCGTGCTTCTTCCGATGTTGCCCTCTCCCAGTCTTAGCGGCTGTGAGAAGGAAAAACAGTATTTGAAAGCAGTGCCAACTTCCTGGTTTCGTCAGGCTATTCCTTCAAAACTCATGGCTTGGGCAGGACAGATGGCGTCTTCCTCTCAACCTGTCCCAGGGCAGCCCCAGGTAAACAGCAACTGAACGCAACAGTCCTGTGAGGGTGTCCAGAGTCAATGGGGAAGGAATGAGGAGGGTCTCAGTCAAACTCAAAGTTTCTTATCACCACACCATTCTCTATGGTGTCTCAGTGCAGGGTCTTTGAGATCTGGATTAAGTTGGCCCTTCCAATTGTGGTTTTAGATTACAGAAAAGACAATAGTGGTGAGAGAGTAAATTTCCAACAGAGGACTTTACCTCCCCAGTCCTACTGGTCTGGCCATTTTCATCCCTGATAGATACTGTGAAAATACCTTTCAGATGCCAGATTCCTCCTGGCTGATGCTTTCTTTCCTGTAGGGACAGGAAATTCTGGTAAATAAGCTGTTAAACAGCTTTGATTTGGTTGGTTGGAGCCTTAAGAGATGGATGATGCGCTTGGAATAACAACACAAAGGATTTCCTCCTATCTTATTAGTTCTGTGGGCTGTTCTAACTGTTCTGTCACCTGTGCACCTAAGTCCTGATAGATACAGGAAATCATGCAGGGGATACAGATGGACAATAAGAGCTTCATACCCACTCAGGCAAAAAATAGGCTAAATATAAAAATTATAAATAAGAAATTATAAATAAAAATAGGCTAAAAATAAGGGGGAGAGCATTTTGTGTTAGAAGGCCTCACGATGTAGAGCTGTGACTTTTATACACTCCAGGGAAGCAGTTTGGAGTGAATGACCTAAGTGCTGCTTGCCCTTGTTCAGACCCAGAAACATATGCAGCTTCAGCATATGCAAATCAGAAACGATGCATTTTTGCTAATGGAAGCGGATTTCTGGGACATTCTGCTATCACTTTATCAGAAGACTCTTGCAAATAATAGTTTTTAAAAGTATAGAAAGATTTAGACACATGCTGCATCCAGACTTCCAGTGTGATCTCATAACTTCACATTGGCAAGGGCCAAGGAGAAGAAAATCCAACTGCACTCAGTAACTCTAAAGACTAAATATGTGCAACAAGTCAATCTGTGCCCCAGAATTCAGTGTCTGACACAAACTGCTGCTGGTGGGAGAGTAGCAGTGATTGGCTTCTCACTGAAGCAGGTGGCACATGACAAAAATCAGATGATACCCTCTTTAGCACTTGGCATGACAGAACTTAACTGGATTTGACAATCAGCTCCTGTGTCTGTGCACAGAACTGACCATGGCTGCAGCAAGGCTCCCACTATTTCTATAATAAAGAAGCTATGCCTGCAGGTAAGGGAAGCTAGAGGATCCTCAGGAAATTGAGGCTATCACACACGTGGGATTAAGGCTGCCTTCTCACTAAGATGACTCTCTGTTGCTTGGGGAAAAACAGCACTGGACTTGAGACAAGAAGCAAATGCTTTCTGATGTGCTTTCACAGCTTAGCATAAAGGGGAATACTAACCTCCATTTATTGGGTTGCACACAGCCAAATGGGTTGAAGACAATTCCAAAAGCTCTGACGGATTTATGGTGATTGGCCCTTTCAGTCAGAGGGAAATCTGGAGCTGTGAAAAGCCGATCAAAGAGGAAAGGTTTTAAAGGTGGTTGATGAAACATGGAGCTCACATGTCGTGAAAACCACAAAAAAAAATCCAGGAAATAAGATTTAGTGGTGCCCTGCAAAATGGAAGATAAATCAGATGTCTTGCAAAGCAAGGAAATACGTTTCTGCTGTAGAGACTTGCAATTGTAGTGTTTTCTGCTCAGGTGGTGATAAAAAAAGAGGCATATGCAATACTATACTCAGCAGAAAAACAGATGATCTGGGTTAATACCTTCTAAAAAGTCCACAGAATATCAGCCACCTTTCTGTGCTTTCCCTGAACTTCTGTAATTCATGCTGGCCATTCCCATGGAGAGAAGCCTTTGGGAGCAGCAACGAAGGCTGCAGGGCCATTTCAGCAAGGTGTGGGCTGGACCCTCCTCTGCCAGCACCCTCCAGTGACCAGAACCCATAACACTGAAGGCCTTTCCCTCTCCAGCTTCTCCTATTACACTTAACCGTCTGCTGAACTAGTTTACTATATGCTCTCAGGCTGTTACCAAACCCACAATACCATTGCTTTGCAGTTACAAAGACAGTACTTGCAAACAGCATTTAGCAGACAAATCATCTCAAACACTTTATACAGAAGGAGGTATAGCTCCTTCTCCATAATGGGCAGAGAAAGCCTTGCCCTGCTTTTATGGCACATACTATTGGGATGCAGAAGAACTGGAGTCAGTCTTACTGGTCACTAAAACAACACTACCCTTTGGTGCCTTGGGGAAGGGAGCAGAAGTCCTCTCAGCAGGCTTTTACCCACCTCCCGCATGCAGATACAGTGTGAGGGAAGCATATGCTAGTCATAGGCCAAAGCACAGGAAACAAGTGACCTACGAGTGAACCTCATCCTCACTGCCAAGAGATAACAGCAGCTCAAGGAGATAAGGCTGCATGACAGAGCAATTAAATCAACAGAATATCTAGGTTCTTTCTAGGCAGACTTAAGCAGTTCAGCTCAATGGGGCACAGGCAGCTGAGCATCTAAGCACTTGCTCAGCAAACCCTCACATTTAGGAAGCCAGGTTCATGGCTTGTACACACTGTTGCAAGCCATCACTTCTGCTCCCTCACTTGTAATAGTCTCCACTGATGCTCAGTTCTGTTCACACTGTCTTAAAAAGACTTCTGCCTATTAAACTGGAATAAATAGCATGCATGTACAAAAAGCCACAGCAGAAACAGTATTTCTATTTGTATTGAACCTGCTCTTTTCTCTCCAGGTGGCAAAGAGCATCTAGCTCTATGAGCAAGTATGTTTTAGTAGACATAAGCAGTCTGACACAATCCAGAAAGTCACTAAAAATGTCAGAGACAAGCTGGGTAAAGTTTTTGAGTTCCAGTCTTCAATAAACAGTCACTGGTCTCTCAAAAATGCCATGAAAGAAAGTATTCTGAGCCTTGTTCCTATCTCCATACTGCCTGTCTTTCCAAGGACCACTCTCCACAACAAAACAGGGTAAGAGAGGGTGACCTAAGAGACATATATGGTCCCCATTCCTATGCCAGCAGCACTGGAATCCCACACCCTTGGCATCCCACCAGCAGGCCCAGCCACCAGACCAAATGCATGACAAAATCTGTGGAGCACTCGCTTTGATAGCTGCTTATTTCACTTGATACCAGCAGAGCAGTGACTGGCTTTGAGGGTTTTTGCACATCACAGACTTCTCTATGTCTAGCACAGCTGGCTATTCCTATACTCCATCTTGGTGGGCTACAGGAGATTTTTGGTGTTGTGTACACAGTGTAAGCAGTGTGGTTTCTCACATTAGGCATACAGGTGGTGTCCAAGGAGCTGCAGGGTAGTGACACTCTCAACAGGAGCTGGGCCAGTCAGGAGAGTGGGGAGGAAGTGGATCAGGCCCCAGAGAGGAGAGACGCAGGGAAAAGCAGCTCTGCAACAGCTGGCATATGAACCACACAGGATCTGATTTATTTCACTGTGAGGGCCTTGCCCCACTGACCCAAACTGCAGGAACAGGCAGTACTGAAGAGGGATAATTGTCCAATTTCTTAGAGGCTTATATATACCCCCTATATGGCCTGGAAACTAAAAATCAGGCTTCGACCTGGGGCCAGAGAAGAAAGTACTGAACAGAGACCTAAGTTCTTCTTCTGACTCAAGGAATTTTTGATACAGACTTCAATAGCAGTAAGTTCTCTCTCTGAAATGAAAATCAAAGTAGTATTTTCAACTCAATGGTTTGCCGCCCCCTTCAGTGGGTGTGTTTTATTCTGTGCCTTGTTTGTGGAACACTAGCAGTAAGTGCTTTCAAAATGCTGCATATTTATTACTCAAACATTCTTCCATCTATTCTAATAAACATTGCTGCTCTAACAGATGCATATTCTTTACGTCTCTTATTTTCTGGGGCACCCAGCCCCAGAGGCCACAGGATAACCAAGAGGCACGCAGAGGAATCAAAGTGAAGAAGGAAACTTTGGTAGTGCTGCCCAGGGGGCAGGGCACTAGGCTTGGAAGGATGACACCAGAGTGAACTCCCAGTCCTTTGATTAATCCTGAAGTCACACTGTGACATTCAGAAAGGCACTTTGCCTCTCTGCATCTGTTCTCCACATTGCAATAGACATAATACTGTGGCCCATGCCTTTCCTGAGGTTTACTGAGAAAAACCACGAAAGACATGGTAGATAAACAGTACCACTATTCTGCCCCAGGTCTTTCCTGAATGATCAGGAATAAAACTGCTTTAGGAAAGTGAAAGACAGGGTCAAGCCAGTTGGGGTTTAAAACCACTCTTCCAGATACAGATGATATCTGCAGTTCAGAGTGCAGCACCCTGATCCTCTCTCTTCCCATTAAGGAAAGATACAAAATTACCACATTCTGCATTTTTTCTCTTCTGCATCACTAAAAAGACAGCGGCAGAGAAGAAGAGCTGAGCCTGAGAGGAAGAGCAACAGTACAAGTGTCTGCTATTGGTCTCCAGGCCCAAATAGAAACTGAAACACGCTCATTACCATGAGCATAGTTGTTTGCAATCTGCATGTCTTGTCTCAGCTGAAGCACTTTGTCTTTCATCTCTGCAACACCCATAGAGTTACAGTAATTCAGGTCTCTCTGCAGAACCCGAAAAATCTTGGCCTGGAAAACAACAATAGAGAAAAGAAAGATAAGAGACTAGGACTTCACTTCTGCAACACAGGGCCATCATCCCCCCAACATCTCACACACCGGCTGTGGGGGTGTGTGTAGGGTTTCAGAGCTCCCATGCTTGCAGAGCACCTGGTATTTGAGGCGCTCTGCTTCTGGCCTTGAAACAGAAACACAGACCAGGATGGCAGAAGATCTTCGCATTTGTACTCCCCACAAGCTGGCAGTAAGTCAGTTAAAGCAATCACTGGCCTGCTCTGAGGCTCTGGCCACAACATTCCTGCACAACCCCTTCAGCCTCCCCAGCTGCACCATTTATTAGGGCCTCCCACTTTACATGATGTGGGAGGATTCCCTGTCTATGGGCTGGCTCAGGGGGACTGTTTAAATTTACAGTTAGGTCCTTTGCGCTGCTAAAGTGACATGTAAATGTGAAACATCATCAAGGGACTAAACATAAGTGCAGGCTTATAAAAACCTGTATGGAGTCAGACCTAGAGAGTGAATTGGTGCCTTCATCTACCCATTGAGCTTAGTTAGGGAAGGCCAGCATGGCCCAAATGCTGGATACCAGGACATATACTACTCACCTCAAACCTAGAGAATTCCTACTACAAGGAAAAAATTATACCAATAGTTTCTGACATACTGCACCTCAGCTCTTCCCTGCTTGTGATGACAGAGCTCGAAAGGACCATGTTTCTTCTAGTAATGGTATTTTACTTCTTTCTCTACAATGGGATTTGTTATTTATCCCTACAAAGGTATTTCAGTAGCATTCACTTAGGACCTTTACTATTTTACAAACAGTTACGGACAGGAGACCTCATCTTGCACTTCCAGCTCTAGGAATGATTCATCTAAGCCAATGGTGGGAGTGCAGCCAGCATCCTCAGGATTGCTGTGTAGGACCCCAAAAGCTCAGTATCTCCAGGAAATTAAAACATTTTGTACAGTTTTGTACACAAACACCCAGGGAAAAATATGCAATGAATATTGGTATAAAACTAGGACTCAATCTGCCTGAAGATAGAGTACCCAGCTGAGACACACACTTTTTGTAAGAGGACAAAAAAGTGCAATTCACCATCTCATTATCATCCCAATGCCCCCAAAAAATCCCATGACCTTCACGAGGGAAGCATTGCGAGTACCTTCAAATAAGGTATCAAGCCAACTGCTTCCTTCTCCATCTGTTTCTGATTTCTCAGGGCCCTCTTGCAGATCCTTGGGCTCTGCTCCATGTCTTGAGTACAGTTCACGCAGGCATTGCTAGGTGTAGGCAAGGACTGCTCCTCAAATTCCTCTAATGAAATCAGCTTGCAAAATGATACACTGAGGGGATACTCGTCAAACTCATCCAAGGTCTCCATCCTGTACCTGATCAAAGATGACAGGGTGGGCTGTATGCTATTCTCCAGCTGGTGGAAGCAAGAGAGCTGTTTCCTGGTGATGAAGCATGGCCTTCCTCCTGCCCTGTCAGGAAGCAGGGTCACAACAGCCCCTGCCACAGCTCACCAACACCTTCCTGAAAGCCTCTGCCAGCAAAACCACCTTTGTAGTGTGACAGGACTAAGTCTGGGTGGAGACTTTGGCATAGGACCCTGTCAGGGCAGGAAAACTGGGGTAGATATGGTCCTTTAGAGAGGCTCCCTGCCCTCCTCTGGTTTCCAGGACAACGTCTCCCCTTTCCCTCCAGCTCCTGAGGACGCACAGCGCTAGACAGGCACAGGCCTCCCTCATAAGGGTCTCCCAGAGCAGCTAACAGCCAGAGGCTCAAGCCCCTCACACAGCCATGCCCCGAGGGATACACACCCCCAAGAGGGGCAGCAGCGCGGCAGGGGACACGGGGGCAGCCCGAGGGGCAGCGGCTGTGCTCCACGCTTCCCGGGAGGGTGAGGGAGGGCAGACCTGAAGAGACCCTGGCAAGGGTAAGCAGCCGCTGGGCCGCAGGTACCTTAGAAGAGAGCGCGGCCCCACGGGTACCTCAGGTGGGGAGCGCGGCCCCGCGGGTACCTCAGGTGGGGAGCGCGGCCCCGCGGGTACCTCAGGGGGGAGCGTGGCCCCGCCGGTACCTCAGAGGGGAGCGTGGCCCCGCGGGTACCTCAGAGGGGAGCGCGGCCCCGCGGGTACCTCAGAGGGGGGAGCGTGGCCCCGCCGGTACCTCAGGGGGGGAGCGCGGCCCCGCGGGTACCTCAGGGGGGGGAGCGCGACCCCGCGGGTACCTCAGCGGAGGTGGCGGGGCCGCGCAGGGAGGCGGGGCTGCCCCGCGGGGCGCACCTGCTCCCGCCGCCCGCTCCCATTGGGCAATCAGAGAGCGCGGGGCGGGGCCGCCGCAGTGGGCCGTTGGCAGAGACACGCCCCCATTCCCCCGCCCGCCATCCCCAGGCGCTCCCTCAGCGCGGCGCAGCGAGGCCCGCGGGCGTTGCAAGGTGTTTATTGCGGTGGGAGCGGCCCGGCGCTAGCGGCAGTACCGCTCCGTGTCCAGCCTGCTGTGCTCGGGGTGGTAGGTGGCCGTGGCGAAGCACATGGCGGCGGAGCGGTCGCAGTTGCAGATGAACATCTCGCACTCGTTGTTGCTGCCTGCAGGAGAGAGCAGGAGCGGTCAGACCCGCAGCTCCTCCCTTCGGCAGCCATGGCGGTACCTTTGTGCGGCCGGGGCGCAGCCCTCCCGCTGATGCCGTCGGTTTGGGGGTGCGACCGCAAAACTGAGCCAGACCCCCTCTTCTCCTTCCCCGCAGGCCTTTGCCAGCCTATCCGCTGTTCATCCCCATTCCAGTGCCCTTGGAAAGCTCCACCATTACATTAGGGATGCGACTTCCCAGTTAGCACGCTGATCTCTTAACTACTGCATTAAAGGACTAGCAGAAAAGTGCCACTCAATCCCCTGAAGAGGGGACAAGTTTCCCTATGTGCTGATACCATATATCTTAATAAACTTGGAACTGTGTGGTAGATGGACCATATCCACCCCAGTGCCTGTGTGAGGTGCCCTGTGTCTAACAACCAACCCCCTGGCAGGGACTTGCCCAGCACCATCGTGCCACAGAAGTGTGGAGTGTAACAGCCCCATTCCTTCAGAAGAGAGGCTGGAGTGATGGTTGGAGTGACATGGAAGTGGACATACTTTTACATGTAATCTGCCCGCTGGAGCAGCTGAAGCTGTATGAATTTGTGTAGGGGTTGTCCACCAGGAATCTGCAGGCTTCTAGTTTCTTTGCCTGCGAGTAGCAGTTATCATGTACTTGGCAGCACCTAGAAAACAAGGAGGGAAAGGTCAGAAAATACCAGAAACACATCTGAACTGTAAGACACATAAATACACTGATATTGCTTTGACTAGTCACTGAACACAAAAAGAGATACTCATTGGTAGGAGGGCAGATACAAAGGACCTCAAAGGGGCACAGTTATGCCAGCTAATGGTCCAGAAGATGCCTGGTACACATCTATTCAGTGGAACATCTTCACGGTGGTCTGCTGGGCACTAGGAAAGCAAAAGCCAGCATTTACCCTACGTGCTCTATTGGTGCCAGGTCACTGAAGAGCTGACAGCCAACACAACTCACTGCGTCCTGGCCATCAGACTTGGGTGATCTCTAAGCTGCTGCTTAGTGTTTTACAGCTCAGCCCTGCAGGTGTTGGTTGCTGTGCATGGAGCAGTGGGAGCAGAGCTGCATCCAGGCTCCTGGCCCAGCACTGCTGCATTAAAAAGAGCTGGAATAAGTGCAGCATAACTGCCACAGAAAACAGAGTTATTTGGATTATATTTTATCTTAGTAATACGGCATCAAGGTGTGAGACTGCACGTCTGTTTTTCCTTGAATCAGTCTCTGGGAGAGAGCTTCATTCACAGCAGCCAGAGAGTTGGGTGAACATTTATAGGCAGGGCCAGAACCATGAAAGCATAAGGAAGGAAAGGGGTTTGTAAAAGCGGAGTCCTACGAACCTGTCAAGGTTATCCACCGGCGTTCCGCTGCCTCCCAAGCCGCAGTAGCAGCCGTAGTCAGCAAGCTCCAGAAGAGGATGGCTGTCCGGCATGGTGCACTTGATCATGCTGCGGAACTCCCACACGGCCCGGGATAAGCCGGCACCGCTGGCTGCACCCACTGGGAAAAGACACAAAGGTTAGAGTGAGGAACGGTGTAACCAGTCCCGGCGAGTGCCACCTACCCACCAGACAGCACGAGGAGCAGGACCAGGGACTTCATTCTCAGAGGACTTGATGGAGAGGCTGGTGCTGAAGAAAGTTGGGGTTTTATACAAGCAGCTCACCTTGACATGGGTACAAGATAAGCAAGCCACTATTTATGTTACTAAATGCAGGCTCCTTCCATCGGAAGGCTGTGGACAGCAGGTTGTGACTTGACCAGTTGAAGGCCAGGGTAGTTAAATCTGTGAAAGCCAAGAAGGCAAATATTTGCTTTCTGGATTCTTGCTATCAAATTCTTCTAATGCTACTATTAGAAGCCAGCCTGAAAGTGAAAGATCTGGACATTTTTAAGGACTCTCTACTCAACAACAGTAGCAGTGTGGTAGTTATGTTGGAAATTGCTGGCACACACCATTAACAATCCTGCTAACACTGGCATCTTCTTTTATGGTGTCCCACTTAACCGGTTAATGCTGTATTTATCTATGGATTCTCCTTGCCTAATTCAGAGAACAGAGTACAAGTCATCCACTCACCCCAAATGACTATTTAGCATAAGCTGAACTGAAAAAAAACCCAAACTTTTTTATACTTTGAAACCATAGAGGAGATGGAGGTACTACTAGGCGTGAAACAAAGGCAACCTGGAAAGCCTCTGTGTCGGGCTTACACAAGGAGTAGTGCCTGGGTTTGCATGACTGTAAGAGAATTACACTGGAATTGAACTGGGCTTAGAAGTTTCAACACACAGTGGACTCAGTTTAGAGACAGCAGTTTCTCCATCACCAATGCAGAACTCAGTCAGGCCCTTTGGTTCTTCTCTATGCCAAGGCATGAGGCAAGTTGGGAACATTGAAAGATCAAAAAACGGGTAAGAAAAAGCTTTCTGGAGTCAGCTGGGGGCAAGTTCAAACACTGCACTTGCGTTTAGAGCCCAGAGGATCTAACACTGTCAAGGCTACAGGCTTGGCATTTTGACACACTCAAGATACAGATCCTAGGCAGCTCACTTGATAGCACCAAAAATACCTTCCATTTTTAAGAGCGGAGGAAGAGGCAAAGCCCACATTTCCACAACAGCCTAATAAACCAGAGTGCTTATTCAGGAGACCTGGGGTCCACCACCCTTCAGTAGGTTCAAATGCATGTTTCTGTAAGGGTCTGTAACTATGCTAGGGTGCCCATAACATCCACAGGATGTTGACATGTCCATAGGACATCTAGTTAAAGCTAGACATGCAACATTCTAACATTTTTGCTCTCTCCTAAGCTCTTTTTCTCTGGTATTCCCCACTTAGAGGTTACCTAAAGGCAAACAGATGCTGCGTTACAGAGTCAAGATTCTCATATCGTAATAGAACACTGAGCACACATTAAAGGCTGTGGTAAAGGACAGTCTGTATCACAGCTCAGAGAAAAGAATTTCATCTTTTGCCCACAGATCAACCTGCTGACTTTCCCTTCAATACCCACTGAAGTGTTTTCTTTCTCCTTTGCTGCTTTGGCCACCTTTACTCTTTTTAGAATTATTATTTCTCTGTTCTCCTACCTATGAACTTTAAGACCCTGGTTCCTCTTTCCTCACTTCTCAACGTCCAATTTATTATTGATATTGCCAAAAAACTTCCAATAAACTGGCTTTTTTTAAGTCACAAAGAAAAAAAAACTGCTGTATCTTGGCTTTCACTCATTTGTATTCAACCAGAGGATCACCAGGTGTGGGAAAGTGGCCGTGTGAGCATTATTAGAATGCCTCCTGAGAAAAATCCCAGCAGGGAAAAGCTTTTCACCAATGCTATTTTTGGCTTCCCCCAACCTGTGCTGCATACCAAGTCTCTGGTGCTTGGTATGCTTGTGAAGACATCCCAACTTACAGCTGGTTCCTAAACTTACAGGGTTGAGCCTTAAGGTATTTTTAAGACTTGTCTGTATTTAAGACCTGCTGTGCAGGGTTCCCTGCTATTTCACACTGTCACAATTCACCTTCCTCTTGCAGGGCTGTCTGTTAAGGACTTTTCTTCCCTTCCCATCTCCACATTTTACTGTCTTGGATCAAGCCTCCTTGGTCCACCAAACTGCCGAGCACCACAGTAGCTTCTCCCTTCTTCAATCTACATGTATCCATACAAAACCTCTGGAACATAAAGAAGAGACATGATCTGTTAAAACCAGACCTGCCGCACATCAGAAACTGGGCCACTCCAAAGACTGGGAGCAGAAGAGAGAGCCCTGCCTGGGGCTTTTATCCTAATGGCAGGATGTGAGTCTGGCTAGGTCCAAGTTCACCTGAGATGTCCATGTGAAAACCTCCCACCCCCAAATAATGACAGAGAAGGACAGTTTTCAAATAATTTATTAGGAATTTAAAACTGAAATCTGGAAAAAGGGTTACAGGTGTGGAGAGAACAAACACGGGAGTGTAATAACTTACTGGCTTAAAAACACAGCTTTTATTCCTTTAAAAAAAATGCCCACCCTGAAACCGGAGCCCCAGTCTCCAGGCAGCGGCAGCACTGGCCAGAGAGTGATCACAGCCCAGCAGCAGCACAACTGGCCTTGGATGTCTGGAGGGGGCACGGAAGCAGCTCAGCGCGTCTACCAAAGAGAGAGGAAAGCGCTGTCCGCAGACCCAAATTTGAAGTATATAGAATAAAAATAAACCCAATAAAATGCAGCTCTTCTTTAATTAGGAAATATTTAAAAAAACAGACATACAGACTCTTGTCTCAGTAACAAAAATTATTGCTTTGTGTTTTCAGTACTGATCTGTTACGTACCCTCTTTACCTAAACAGAACTCTCCAAACACATCGCCTGGGTCAGGACAAGCTCTGGCAGACAGGGAAAGGATGGAAGAGAAGAGGACCCTGTGAGCGCAGTGGCCCTCCCAGTCCTTTCCTAAATGCCCTTCTCCCTTACAGGGGCTCAGTTTGGTGGAAGAGAGGGAATGATTTTTAAAACTTAAGATGAAGCTGTTATTTCCCTGGGAAAAGAGTTTGGCTGCATCTTAATGAAAGGCTTAATCACCCCCCTTAACAAGGTCTTTGGTTCACTGAAATCCAGACCCAAACCTGCCCCGTGTACTGCTGCTGGAGACCTCCCCTGGCACAGTGTTTGTTAGCAGGGGCCTGGATCACACCAGGGGAAGCCCCAGCAGGTTCTGGAGAAGGGACCAGCTCACCCCTGGCACAGGAAGGGACAAATTCCCACAGTCTTTAGAACACAGAGTAAAGCAAACGGGAAGCTGCAATTCTATAATTCATATAATCCCTGAGAAGCCCTTAACCCGCCCCCAAATCACCACCCTAATGCTTTCCTCCCCCATTAATGACTCCCCAGCCCAGCGCCCTGCCCTTCAGAGAACAACCACCCAAACCTCCCCCTGGCCCTGGCTGAAACCCCTTCCAATACCCTCACCTCCAGAGGAGGAGCCCCTTCCCAGGAAATCTTGACACAAGCGATAGCATTTGGAGAGTGAATTCCTTTCAAAGTAACCAAGACAAGCAATGGCGTTAAAGCCCTTTACCTAAAGCCAAGCCAGAGGCTGGCACTACGGAGCCCAGTGATGGAGTCTGTACATCGAGCAATTGGAAGCAGCTTTAACCCGCTCAGCAAACCAGCCGATGGCTGGTACGTTTCACCCCCCCACCCCCCCTTTCATCTCAACAGAGGTCTTAAAATCTTACAGTAAAAGGTGTACAAAAAAAGAACGGAGTCCTGTCAGGATTCTGCTGGAGAGTATTGCTCACGCTGCGGCACCAGGTCCAGGACCTGGTGCTGCTCCTGGGAGCCAGGCTGCAGGCAGCAGCCAGGTTCAGCTCACAATATTTACATATTATACAGGAGGAGAAAGAAAACCCCACAGAAAACTAAACCTAAGGAAAAAAAAAAAACAAAACAACCCAAAAACCCCCAAGCTCTTCCAGCTGTAAGGATAGTGTTTCTCACTTAGCAAAATATACATTTGTTCTGTTCCATAGCTGTGTCCAACGCGTTCGGATCCTTGGAGTTTCACACTTTTCAAAGCCTCACATTTACAAAACAGAAACAATTAAAAACAGTTTCTTTTAAAAAAAAAAAAATAGAAATACAGCAGTTCCTCTCTGCCTTTGCTCTCTCTGCGTCTCTTCTCTTCCCTTCAGAACTGCATTCTTGTCACATACCGTGCTTTAAAAACACTGACGACAACAACACCAGAGTCGAAAATATTCCAAACAGTTTCAAAGCCAAATAAAAATACTCCTCAATAAAAACTACCTAACACAATCACAAAGCCAATTCATAAAATAGGTCTACTAGCTCGGGAAAGAGCAAACAACAAAAAGAAGGGGTAAGGGCCCCCCCTCCCCCCCAAAGATACAAAAATAAAAAAATAAACCTAACCACTACTAAAATAAATAAAAGAAGAATCAGTGGGCTGGGGGCGGGGGGGGAAGCGTAAACCGTCGGTGGTTAGTAAGAAAGCGAGATGATCTCCTTGGGTTCAGTCCAGTGTGGTCTGGTCAAGGGCAGAGATCAGGGCAGGGCGGCAGGAGCCTGGCAGCCAGCCGGCAGTGTGCAGTTTGATTCAAGAAAAACGTAACCTTGGCTCATCCCCCGAGGCTCACCCCATCCTCCAGCCGCTCGCTGTCCTCGGTTAGGTCACTGGGGAATCTGCGGGACACAGCAGGGGAGGGAAGTGATGGGATCGAGAACAACCAACAGCTTTTCTCTTGGGGTGTTCTCCCGGTGTGATCTCACAGAAACACGCAGCACCCAAACTTGCCCCAGCACAGGCTTGCCCTGCATCGCATGGGCACAGGGATGGGGCACAGCAGAGATGCTTCCACCTTTAATAGTGGAACAAGGCCCCACATGCTGCACAGCCTGCCTGGGCCTGTGGCACTGCTGGCCCCCGGGAGGCCTGTGACCTGCCAGGGTCCAGCCGCTTCTCCAGCGCTCCTGGAGTGTCCTGTTGGGACACTGCTTCCTGCAAGGTTTTGCCCTCCTTACTGAAAAGCTGGCAAAGGGGGTTAATTCATTTTCATCTTAAGCTAGCTAACTTGCAAAGCAGAGACCATCCCACCAGCTCCCTCTGAAGCCCATCCGAGGAGCAGAAACAGAACTGATCAGACTCAGATTTTCCTTCTGCCCTTCTCCTAGGCAGGAGAGGAAAAACCTCAATCCCACCTCAATCCTGGGAGACAGGGATCTCAGCAGCAGTGAGAACAACCAGCTGCATGGAGGAGGCTTCCCCAGCCATGCAAGTGAGCCAAACTTGTCCCTCAGGACCACTACTGGGTTGTGATTCTGGCCAACCCTGCAGACCTTTCCTCTTTCGGTGCTCCTGTTTCCACCCTCTCTGTACCCAGACACTAGGTGACCTCTGCAGCACTCCCAGCTTGAGAAGCATAAAGCAGAAACTCAACCTACAAGCTGCTGGTGCAGAAGGGAGCCCAGGCTGGGCACAGAACTCCTCCTGCACGCTGGGTCAGGCCAGGAAGCATCGCAGCAGCACCCAGAGTGCCCAAACATAGGGGCCAGCTCAGAACTTCTCTCATTACCCATTCCTGTTCGAAGCTCTTACCTCCTGCCTCCTTGGTCCCCAGCTTCAGTGATACCCATTGGTAAAAGCTGTTGCAATCAAGGGACCCTGTGAAAAGAGTTAAAACCCCACTCTTAAGAAGTGAAGCATTACGACCACATATCCAGTTATGCTGGGAAGGCTGGTTTCAGTTGGAGGTGCCGCATCTAAAGAGCGCAACACCCTGCATCAGGGCCAAGATGAGCTCTTAGGAAGTCTAGGCCAGATCACGGAAAGGTCTGGAAGTGAAGACCTTGAATGGTCAGGGAAAGCCAGCGGAGACCAGGGACACGAGCTCCAAGTGAACTGCTGCATTCTGCACTGTCCACCTGTGCTCTGGGCTCACCAGCAGTATAGCAAATGCTGTGGCAGGTGATGTTTCTTAACCAGAAAGCAGGCTGTGGGCTGAGAGCTGCCCACCTCCATCACCCCGTGGAGATGCAGCCCCTTCCCTGGCCATGCCACTTTCCATCTTCCTCCCCAGATCCTGGCAGAGAACACTCACCCCTAGGCTGTGGCCAAAGCCGGTGCTCGGGGCTGGACTGGCAGCACTGATGTAACTGCTGACCCCTGAGTCCTGGTTGGCGGCTCCATAAAGCTCTGCCATCGGCCCGGGGCTGGTGGTGCCCAGAAATCCACCGGTGCGACTGGGGGTGGAGCCTACAGGAGGCAGCAGAACTACAGAGTGAAGATCCCAAAAGTGCAACCCCGTTCCCACCCCCCTCCCACAGCCCATTGCAAACCTCCGTGACCGGACACTGTGACCGGGCACTGCGCTGGGGGGGAAGGTGGCAGTTACCTGTCCCTCGCACCACGGCTGCCGCAGCGGCTGCTGCTGCCATGGGTCCATACGCAGTGAGGGGGATTGCTGGAAAAGAAGAAACAGGCGCTTGAAGGGCACTGTGGCTGTGGGGAGCCCTCCTCAACAGGAGCCTTCATCTCCTGCTGCGAAATACCAGCCCCACACAGACGTATCAGCTTAGGGCATCACACAGACACATTGCTGACAATAGGAAAGTGCACAGCTTGCATTTATTGGGACCCTTTTGCACAGTGAATGTCCTGGGGAACACACTGGCTGTGCTCTGCTAAGCCCACATCCTAGTGCAGATGAGGGCACGATGTGGGAGAGCTGAACCAAAAGTGGGCAAATTCAGATGTATCCTGTCACTACTTAGCTTGCAAGATGCAGTTAATCTGAAGCTACAGATCCAGACTTTGGCTGTAAAGGTGAAGAAAGGCAGCAGCTCAGGGACAGCAGCTGTCAGCTCAGTGTCCCAAGTCTCAGCCCCTCCTCTCCATCCCTTGGTAGTATTCTTGAATAACAGTTTAATAGCCTCTTTCTCCTGATTTCTCTGCTCAAGACACACCATCCTCCGAGTTTTGCTCTGGAACGGTTCAAACCCTTGCTGTTCATTGCAGAAGAAAAGAAAACATATACCTAGGGAGCAGGAACTAGAAATGGCTTAATTGAAACGGTAAGTCTTAATTTATATGTAGCAGTTCCAATTCCCAACTCTACTACCGCAGGCATCCAGCCCTCAGGGCAGGAGGCATCTAGCCAGTATGTTTCTCTTTGCCCTTAAAATGACTGGGTCAGCATTTCATGCTTGAATGTGAAATTCACTGTGATGCTGTTTAGAGCACCATAAAAAGAGGTCAGAACAAATCAATCGCGTTAAGGCTGAAACTCAGACTAGCTTAGGAGGGAATATTTAGTAGCAGGCACCAGCCTGTTTCAAGCCAACGTCATAGGAGGCTTGTATCTGGGTTAGCTGCTCATTACAGGCCCTGGGCCAATGTGAGCATGTTGCTGCTTCGTATCACCCCCAAAGATGCTGTTCCATGGAGGAAAGGCTGCTGACAGCCACCCTCTTGCCCCATCATTGCTTCAAGTCTCCGACACACAGCTAAATTAATGTGGCCAGGTCCTCCTAAAAAAGACTGCAGTTCTTTTTTCCAAGTAAAAACCCTTCTTGCCTTTGCAGTCTATCTACTGAGACACCAGGTTAGCACCTGCATGTGAGCTCCCTGTGTGTTGGAGAAATCATCTCTGCTTGTGCCAGCCCCTCATCCCAGTTCCACTTGCCAAGCCCATGAAGCGCAGCCCATTGACACGCACGCACCCACTTGAAGGCACAAGGGCCCTCGAGCACTGCACAGCTCGCTGGGCCTTTGTAGGAGCAAAGGAGGCTCTGCCCTTCATGGGACCAACTCCAGCCTATACATGGGAACTGCAGCTCTGTGCCTGGCTAAGAGGCTGCACAGGGGCTGTTTAACAGTAGGTAAGCGTAGTGAGAAGGGAAGAATGCCACGATCCCCAGCTGGTCCTTCAGCAGACACTCAGGACTGTAAGCTAACGTGGCAACCAGCCAGGACAGCAGCATTAATAACTTCTTGTTGTACAGAGCTCTGGTGCACCCCAGCCACTGGTGACAGCCAGGCCCCGGGCAATTCACCTCTGCTAGCAAAAGCCACAGTGCTGGCAGGGGTGGGCCCCAGAGGGAAAATGACTTGTGCCAAGTGACCAACGTTCCTCTACAGATTTTAGGGGGTTTACTTGAAAAACAGATGTGTAAATAAACAACTGGACCCACATCTCCTTTGCCTGGCAACCAAAAGGCTCAGAGGTGGGGGTCAGGTGTGTACACAGCTGCACACATAGTGTAAGGGAAGGGTTTTATGAACAGTGAGCTAGGATTCAGTCTCCCCCTACCTCTGTCAGGGACATTTCTTCATTGGTGGCTGCCAACCTCAGCATCCTCAGGAACAGACTCCCTGAGGATCAAGATGATTCTGTGCCACAGAAACTCCCTTTCAAGCCTGTTTGTACCACTAATTCCAGGAGAGCTTCCCAGGAAGCTTTTCCACACCCCCACTGCAGAGAGATTCAGACCCTGAAACAGGTGGGGGCAAGGAAGCGCTGGGAGAAGGAACACCACGGAGATGAGATGGCACATGGGGAGCAGAGGGCTACATGAAGCTGCTTTTCTACAACAAAAACCATGGACAGGACAGAGCTGGGGAAAACATGGCCATGGAAGGGGGAGCAGACAGAACAAGCATCACCTAGGGAGAACACACTGCACACAACCCAGGATCCAGAGGGTAGCTGCACTGCGAAGACACTGAGCCAGGACTAGCCTCTGAGGAATGGTTGTCTGCCCCCATTTCATTCCACAGTTCCCTATAAGCACTGCAAGACTTGTGTACCATGCTTGCTTCTGCTTGGGAAGCTCATGTGGGAGTAGCTGGGGAGCTGCACCACCCAGAGTATGGAAAGCATTGCCTGCAGTCCCCCCTGCACAGGGAAATGGGATTAGAGCAACCAGGAGTGCCCCCATGCCCTCTCCCTCCTCCCAGCACTCCAAATCTTGTCCTTGCAGCAGCTCAGGTTAAGGTCATTTGTAGACCTCTGAGAAGTCCCCCTGCTCTCTGCAGTTTTCTGTATCTGGTTTACATCCAGCCTGGGGCAAGGAGCGAAAAACAAGGCAAGCAGCAGGAAATGCAATCTGAGGATTACAGGCCTTCATTTGGTATGACCTGCACTGCCCTTCTCAGAGGCAATACACATGGCTCTGATTGCCTCTCCATCTTCCCAGCCCCAGCTTTGAATGGAGCCCATACGGATGGCAGAGGAAACAAGGAACCCTTCCAGTGTAACTGCACCAGGCTGTGGAGCAGCGACACCACCGGAACAACCCAAAGTCCCCTTCTCCCCTTCCAGGCTGTGAGCGTAGGAAACAAGCGGGACTGACCTGTGAGCTCAGGGAGGACGGGGGCACTCGGGAGAGGGGTCCGCTCTACACGGAACTCTAAAAACGAAATGCAACACAGCTTAGGAACTGAGCAATGCCCCGAGGGAGACCCCACAGAGAGACAACAGCCAGGGTCTGCTGGGGGAGCAGCCTGTCACCAGGCCAGGGTCTTCTTTAAACTGATTTACAACTGTGCTGAAAGGTGCTGGACTCCTGCCCTGGAGACTGAAAGGATCCATTTATCTTTAGAATAAATCTCACTAAGGCACTGTGAGTGCAAGCTCCACCGTGCAGCCTCAGGTCTGCCCTGTAACACTGCTCTGTGACCCACCCAATCCGACCCATGGCTACAATGCCAGTGGGTGCTCAGTATGTGCCACCCTCATCTGGGCACGGGTTTACAATGAGGCACTTGAAGCCACTACAGGTGAGACCCATAAACTGGATTCATGAAGACCTTCCAGACACCTAGGAGGCAACAGCAACTTTCAGCCACAGTCAGCCTGGGCTTGCCTCAGGCGAAAAGGAAACTTCCCATTCCCAGCCCCTAACATCAAGACTTCATATATAAACCATCACACTGAGGGATGGAGGAAGGAAGGGATGCTCAGAGTTGCCACTTCTCTAGAAAACAGCAAGACAGTCTCTTCTCTGAGCATGCTCTGCCTCATTCCCCTGTCTCACAGAGAATGGGAGGGAGAAGAGGCCCCAGAGCAGCTGCAGCACAGCAGGTTCCAGCTATTGATCGCAAAATCCATGTTTTGAGCACATGGCCGTGTTTGGAGCTTGGAACCACCCAGGCTGGGGGGGATCTGCAGCCCCCTACCCCAGCAGATGCTTTCTGGAAGCTGGGAGTTGCCCAGGCACTGTTCATAACCCAACTGCAGCGCTGCAGGCTGTGGTTTGGGTGCCTGGGTCCATGGAAAACCATGGTTTAAAATTCTGTGCTACTCTGAGAGTAGTGACAACTCTGGTAGAGAGACAGAGATACACAAAGGCAGCGAGACAGGCGGAGCTGCAGGGGCCCTTCTGTGTCACAGCAGCAGCCCTACGGAGGGGCTAGCATAAGGGGAGTCAGAGCAGCCTTGGGCTTTTCCTGCCACTGGAGTGTGAGGATAATCCTAATGAAGGACAGGCTGTTCCCACCTATTCCAGGGATTCTCCCCTCCCCCTTCCACATCCACCTCCAATTTAATGAAAGACCAAACAGGGGAAAGGGTGAAGGGGGCAGAGCTCAGGTCACGGATCATTCCAGGGACTCCCATCACGTGAAGGCAAACCAAAAACCAGAGCAGGAGCACCACTCACCAGGGAACTGGTAAGTGTAGCCAGGTGCAATGCCAGTGTAACTCCGACTCGCATAGGTGGCAGCTTGGAAGCCTGGATAACCTGGGAGAAGAGAAAAGGGCTCTGTTACTGCAAGCTTGCAGGGATCATGTCCTCAGTGCCTGGCTGCTCACAAGCAGTGTGACCATTAGTGTTAGAAAGCACAAACAGGGCTAACAGCAGAAAGCCCAGGAAACTGCTGGGCAGATGCACAAACCGTGCAAGCCTGCAAGAGAGTTTTAGCAGGCCCATTCCATTTTTTCCTCACTCCAAACATGTAAGGACATGGAGATTTTCCTTCTCAGGAACTCACAGCTCTGCAGACTAAGGCTTTCTGATGCATCAGCTGGATTCAGGAGATCGGGGAGGTGGGGCATCTGAAGAACTGAATAGCTCTGAGTCACTTTGCAGTAGAAGTGCTGGCAAATGCAGGCAGAGCGCTCCTGCCTGGCGCCGGGCAGGAGGACAATCCCTGCTGCTCCCCAGGAAGCTGACCACCTATACAGAGCAAGCCTGGGAGAACCAGGGCATTGACTCAGAGATGAATATTTACTCTGAGATCTCCCCAGACATGAGTATGTGGATTTCCCAGTGACTCAGCTTGAGCCCTGCTGCTTTAAAATACAGACAAGGCAAACCCCAAAACCACAGGCTGGAGATTTATTTTCCTTCAATAAGTCAAGAGAAAACACTGGGGGGTAAAAAATGCCCTCTTTGGGGTTTTGTTCAGTGACTAACTGCTACTGGGCAGGCTTAGCAAGGAGGGTCAGGCTGAGTACACCCTGCCCAGCAACACCAGCCGTGATGCTGAGCAAACACTGTGCTCTTGGGGCAGCTCAAGCCTGGCCAGAATGTGGGGAGAGGAGCCAGGAACAGCACTATGCTGGAAGGATCATGCTTGACTCTCAGGTCCAGGCATGAGGGTTTGTAGAGCTGGAAATGGAGGCTAAAAAGGACTTTAAAAAAAGGATCTTTTATCTGAACACATCTGGCTGAGAATCAGTGACAGTCATGAACCCCAGCCTGACAGTCCCATGGTAAGTGTATGGTTTTCCCTGCAACACCAGACACTTGCTGGCCCTGAGAGGGAGGGAACAAAGTGAAACAAAGCTTAACTAGAACCCCAAGGGCATTTTTACAGTCTAGAAAAGGCAGCGAGGACATTTATATGTGCTGCTGATTCAAGTGGAAACTCAGAAGCTCTTTAACCAACGAATGTATCAGAAAGCCTGTAGAAGTGGGGGACGAAGCTGCCTGGGCACAGATCACCCCACGCTCGGTTCGCCCATGGATCCTGAGCCACGGGAGGCGCTGAAGAATCACAGCCCAAGTGCACTGCGGGGCCGTTAACGGAGCCGCGCTCAGCCCCGGGCCAGCTCCGGCTGTCGCAGGGCACCAGGGACAAGTTTGCAGTTTACTCAGGTGCCACCAGAGGGCAAGTTGCGATCGCAAACAGGTCCCGGCACCCCCCTCAGCGTCCCCGGCCTCGCTCCAGGGAGAGCTGCCCTTGGCCGCCCTCGGAATAAAACCTCTAAGCTGCTGCCTGGCACGACCGGGAGCTGGGAGGAGATGTGTCCTTGGGCTTACCCAGCATGCCGATCCCGAGCATGAAGGCATCCATCCCGTAAGGCATGACTCGGGATCGCCCTCGCGCCGAGCCCGTTGGGGACATCACCTCCTTCGGCTGAGCTTTTTTACACTCCACCTGCCACAAGAAAGCAAAGATGAGGCTGGGCCATGAGCACAAGGATTGGAGCACAGGCAGCTCCGGGGCTCTCCTGCTCCCTCTGCAGCCACCACAGGCAATGGGAACCTCAAACACTGATTTTTGGTGGTGGAGCATCAGCTCTGTCAGGCCCTGCACTGAATAAAGGTAAAACCTGCCCCATGGCAAGCCACCAGGAGTTTCATGTAACTTCAAAACCTCCGCAACAGCTCATGACAGTGCGCTCTTCTTAAAACCTCACTATTGTGCTGGTTCATTTCCACACTCTGTTTCCCAGACTGCCTCCTGTGATATGGGGGGAAAGACTCAATTCCCCACTGCAGAGAAAGTGTACTGGGACCCAACTGCCTCATTCCCTTGTGCCTGTGCCACTGCTCCACTCCATCCCGTAGCTCTGTCCCTTCTTCCCCAGCTCTGCCCCAGACACTCACCATTTTGTTGTTGATCTCATGGAAGTGGATTTCACACACTTTTTCCACAATGTCTTCGCTTTCAAATGTGACAAACCCAAACCCTGAAGAAAAGGCAAAAGACCTTGATCAGGTCAGAGCTCTGTACAGTTTGCACCCACTACCCACATCCTTTTACTGGCAGGAGAAGAGAAGGATGGTACAATCAGCCCTTTCTAAAACAGCTGCCACTCATCTTTCCCTCTCCTCATCTTGCTTTTATGCACAAGAACAACAGGACCAATCCCTTGCAGATTCCCCTTTCCTCATATTGTACTTCCCATCTTCTCTGAACCCAACAGCTCTCAAAACCAAGCTTTTGGATTTGGTTGGTTGACTTTGCTGGTTGAAGGCAAACCACATGGCTGGTAATGCTGGGGAGGATCCCAGCAGACACTCACACAAAGAGTCGGTGGAGAAACGAACAGCTGCTTGCCGGGACTTCACCATCCCTGCTGAACACACCCCACCAGCAGCAACACCCTGCACGTTTCCTCGCCAGTCACTGGCCATAAAGCCTTGTATAAGCAGGCAAATCTCAGCGACGCACTTGTACAGAGCAAGTCAGACACAAGCAAAGCGATCTGCAGTTTCACCAAAGTGAGGGTGGTATCTGGGGTAAGGCAGGACACCGTGTTCCTGGCTGCTGGCCCAAGCTCACATCTCCTTTCTCTCCCCAGCCCCTCTACTGACACTTCTGGCAAAGCCCAGCTCGGGTGCGCAGACTAATCTGCTCTCAGCTGACTGCAGGGCTTCCGGAAAACTGAGGCAGGTGGGAGGATGTCTTTAAACTTGCCTTATGAGCAAGCTGGGATTAAGCAGAGCTTTCAGGGGCTGGCCAATTCCATGGTGCTTTAAAATAACTTTCAAAAAAAGACAGGGATCCGCTGCCCAGAACCCCACTTTTTCTCCATACTCTCCATAAACTCCTGTCTGTGACCAGGTAGTTTCACACCACCCGTGAGCAGAGGAGATCAGGAATTCAAGAGCAAAACCCTGAATCCAAACCCAGTCCTGAATCCCATCAGACCCCCACCAGGCTGTTGCATCCTAGGCAGAGCCCCTCACTGCCAACACAGTGGCTGGGAGCAACCCCTGCTCCTTCCAAAATGCCCAACAGCTCTTTAATTGGACTAGTGGCTGGGAGGCACCCATGGAGGAACAGGGGTTAACACTCCTTCCCTTTTCAGATGAAGCTGCAAACATGTCAGAGGAGAGGCAATCAGATTAGATTTAATGTCTTTGGAAAAAAAAGCAAAAACCTGAAGGGCACACAATGTAGCAAGGGCAGAAAGGAGCGTTCCCTCGCTGATCCAGGGGCAAAGGTGCTTGGAAGTGCTTCAAACACCAGACAGACATGAATGAGAGCGGCCTAGCACAGGGCTGTTGCTGGCCCTGATTTCGAGGACGCTCAAGCTACGTTTGCAGGTTACGCTGTCGGCAGTAAATCCCAGAGCTGGTACAAGGCCTGTGTGGAGCAATGCCATGCCACAGGGTGGTTGGAGTAAGGATTCAGCAGGAAAGCGGGAGGTTGGGACGCCCATGGGTGGGCTGGGTTTGACCAGGGCAAATATTACAGCTTTGCTCCCATCCTGTAACCAGACTCCTCCAGCAAGACTCGGGTAAGAAAAGGTGACCTGGGAGCACAAGCGGGCTGCAGGCCGAGGAAGAGGCGAGGAGCAGGCACTCTTCAGGCTCTCGTGTCAGCTTTCCCCGAGCTCAGATTACTCGGGACAAGGTAAGACACACACTGCGGGCTGCAGCCATGGAGGTAAGCGGGCAGGGGAGGGGGCCGTCTCCTCTCACATATCTGCAACTCGGCAAGTTTACAGCACAGGAAACGCACTGGACAAAAGCTCTCTGTGCTGCAGGGACGCTGGTAAAGGATGCAGATGCAAAAGAATGGGGTGACTGGAGGCAAGATAAAGAGCAGCTGCGCCCCATATCCCCTGCTGCTGGGATACAAACCCTCCCAGTTCCCTCTCCTGCAGCAGGAAGACCGCTCTCACCTCGGTGTCTGTTAGTTGTCTTGTCAAACATCAGCATCGCATCATCCACCTGCAAAGAGAAGGGCTCTGATCAGATTATTGTATTGCCACGAGCATCCTCTGACACATTTGCACAGACCTTCCCAGGACTCCCCAGACCTGAGGGGATTAAGATAAGACCTCCTATCTCCACGAAGGCAAAAGGATGTGCACACCCACGTCAGCTACCACAACCAGGCGCTTCCCAGGCCACCACCAGCATGGTCCCCCACCAGCCCAGGGCAGGTGCTGCTGAGCTGAGCCCCCTCAGCCCAGCCCCTGGCAGCAAGGACCTGCCTGCCTGTGGCTCCAGCGGGCGGGCAAGGAGCAGGGAAGGCATTGTTCCCAAATCCCGGCCTCAAAGGAGTGGAGAATTAAAGAGGGGGGAGAGAAGCAAAGCTGGAGAGGGGAGAGGAATAAGGGGCCTCCCAGCGACAGGGGAAGCGGAGGCCTCAGACAACAGAGCCTGCCTGGGAAAGCTGGGAAGCGCCCCTGCCCCCACCCCAGAGGAGCCTTTCCTCTAAGTGAGGTTTCCCACTGCTGGAGGCTGTAATTAGAGCAAATTTACTGCAAGGCCTGAGCAGGGCTGCCTTCCCGGGGGGAGGGGCGGCCGGCTCCCATCCCCCCGCCGGCCTGGGGCTGCTCTCCTCCCCGGCGAGCACATCATCACCGAGCGCATCACCGAGCGCAGCACCGCCTGGTGCCACTTCCCCCCCCATCCTCCCGCCGGGTGCCGCCGCGCAGAGCCGCATCTGCACCGCTCCGCGGGTCAGGCCGAGCAGGGTTAAAATAGACACTTCAATCCCCTCCGTGTAAGCCCCAGTGTAAACCTGTCCCACTGACCCATCCCTCCTCTCTAATACCACTGCCTTAATCCGATTATGAAACTGGACGTGCAAGTGCTCAGGGGAGGAGGCAGCAGTCTCCAGCCAGCAGCTGCCCCGGCCCTCCTCATCCTCCTCCTCCATGCAAGACAGCCGCCCCCTGAGCAGGCAGCTCCGCGGGAGGATGGATTACTTCCATTCCTCGTTCCCAGGAAGCATCTGCATCGCTGCCTTCTACAGAACAGCCCACCAGGGAGGGTAGAGCGCTGCCCGTACCCTGGAGCCGGCAGCCACTGGCTTTGCTGGTGAAGAGCTCACAGCTCCATCAGGAACAGGAGAGGGCTCCTGGCCTCAGCCCCCCCGGACAAGGTGGGACATCCGGTGCCACCTCAGCGCCACGAAGATGGGAGGAGCCCTTGCTAACGTTTCCAATGCCATCATGAGCAGACAGAGATCGTCTCTGATGCCCTTGGGCTTGTCCAACACGTCCACCTCAGGTGATAACAGAACCTGGCTCCTGCTCATCTCCTGCTCTTCCAGTCCCAGCTCAGCCTCCCTCAGCCAAGTCAACAGGCACCTGAGAAACACGCCAGGCATCCAGCTGGAGCCATGGGGGATGTAATACTGCACACAGACCCAAAGCAAATCTGATGTGGCTTAAAAATACTTCAAGTATTACTGTCTAATTTTGTTCATTTATTAGCTAGATCTATTCCTCCATCCAGATCACAAAAAGGCTGGGCACGTAACTATCCTCCTCCCCAGTAAACACTGGGAGAAAGCTGTGTCAACATCACTCTGCAGCGGTGGCACTCCCAGTGACTTCAACTCAGGCAATTGAGCCCGCAAACCTCCCATCCGATCATGATGAGAGACGGGCACAAGGAAGAAAAACCCAGCACGGATGAGCACAGCCCAGCTGCTGACTTACTCTGCCCAACTAGCCCCAGCAACAACCTCTTCTTTGCAGAGCCTGCAAAGTGGGAGCAACTGCAAGTGGCAGCGGCCTGCACACATCCCCACACAAACCCACCTCCCAGCAGCATCCCAGAGACAATGCCTGGGCACTCCTTAATCCCAAACTGCGCTCCATACACCAAGAGAAGAGCTGCAGCCTTCCTCCATCCGAACCTTCTGAGTTTCTGCTGGTGCGTCGAGATCAGGTGTCAGCACCCCAAACGGCACTCATCTTGCAAAATCATATTTACAGTAACACACACACTCTATTTGAAAGCCAGTTCCTGGCATGAACTGCATGTATGATAAACAGATATGTAAGTGTATACACACATAATGTATGAATAGTCTCGCTCCACTCAACTCTAGAGTCTCAACTCTGCATATGGCTATAACTCGTGGGTTTTATTGCCAACAAAACCTACACAAGCATCTTCTCATCCCCTTCCAAGGCAACAGGTGAGGCGAGTTGGGTGGTATCAGACAACACAGAGCCAGTGCTGTGAGGCAAACTGGGGACCTGCAACCGGGAGAATTAGTGCTGGAGCCTACAAAGGCCAGCGGGACACTGCAGAGCCAGGAGAAAGGCCTCACTTGTGTCCACAGAGAGCAAGCCATTTCCAGCACCCTGCCAATGGGGTGCCCCAGATTGCCCCTAGCTCTTGCTAGGTGAAGGGATCGGGACCAGCTGCTGCAGAGATTCCTGAGGCCCAGAACTATCAGAGCCTTGCATGAAGCATTGAACACCAAGGTGATGGAGGTACCATGGCTGAGGGGACGGAGGTACCATGGCCGAGGGGACGGGGGTACCACGGCCGGCTCCCACCAAACCCCGGCGGCCCCAGGCTGGGGGCAAGCCGGGCCTGCACCGACCTCACAGCCACAGCCGGGCCTGAGTGGCAGCCCCCGGCGGGCCGCTATTGTGGCAGCGAACCGACCCCCCCCGCCGCCACCGCCGCGCCGGGCCCCAACAAAGGCGGCCGCCGGCGGGGCCGTCACCACGGCAACGGGCCCGCCAATAGCAGCTGCGGCCCGGATTAGCGCCGCGCACAAAGCCGCCCCGCTGCGCCCGCCCCGCCAGCGGCGGCGCCCTCACACGCACCGCAGCCTGCGCCGGGCTGCGGGAGGGCAGCGGCGGGGACCGAGCCCCTGCGCGCCTCGGGGTGCCTGCCCGCAGCCCGGCACCGGAGAGGAACCGACACACACCGACCGAACCACTGCACACCGACCGAACCACCGCACACCGACCGAACCAAACCAAACCACCACCGCACATCGACCAAACCACACCGAACCAAACCACCACCACACACCAACCAAACCACACCAAACCAAACCACCACCGCACACCGACCAAACCAAACCACACCGACCAAACCACCACCGCATACCGACCAAACCAAACCACCACCACACATCAACCAAACCACACCAAACCAAACCACCACCGCACATCGACCACCACCGCACACCAACCAAACCAAACCACCACCGCACATCAACCACCACCGCACACCAACCAAACCACCACCGCACATCAACCAAACCACACCAAACCAAACCACCACCGCACACCAACCAAACCACCACCGCACACCAACCAAACCACCACCGCACACCAACCAAACCTCACCAAACCACCACCGCACACCAACCAAACCACACCAAACCACCACCGCACACCAACCAAACCACCACCGCACACCAACCAAACCACCACCGCACACCAACCAAACCACCACCGCACACCAACCAAACCACCACCGCACACCAACCAAACCACACCGAACCAACCACCGCACACCGACCAAACCACCACCGCATACCGACCAAACCAAACCACCACCACACACCAACCAAACCACACCAAACCAAACCACCACCGCACATCGACCACCACCGCACACCAACCAAACCAAACCACCACCACACATCAACCAAACCAAACCACACCAAACCAAACCACCACCTCACACCAACCAAACCACACCAAACCACCACCACCAACCGACCAAACCACCACCGCACACCAACCAAACCACACCAAACCACCACCGCACACCAAAACCACCACCGCACACCAACCACACCAAACCACCACAGTGCACCAACCACGACAGCACACCAACCACCACCGCACATCAGGGACTCTCCCACAAGGTCTCACAGTGAGACCCCTCCCGCACTGACTTTGTGCCCCTCCTCATGCGGGACAGTGGTGCCACCATCTTGGCTCCCGCCTCAGAGGGAGGCAGGGGGTGTGGGCTGAGGCAGGTCGTGAGGGACTGAACGGGCACAGGGCAGGGGTGTGGTGGTGTGAAGGATGGGAACAGGGATATCTGGAGCAGGGATATCCGAGGCAGAGATAAGACAGGTCAAATACCAGAGAACTGGATGCGGAAGCGAGGAGAACAGCACTGAAGAGTCCCAGAAACACCACTTGAGTTCATTTGTAATGGGATTGGGAAATAACCAACGGTCATGACTGCACCTTAACAAAGGATTTTTTACCGGGTGAACTGTCTTTCTTCCCATTCTCCCTTCTCCCCCTTAAATAAATATTTGTTTCACTTCTTCAAACAGAGTTAAAGCAGCAGATCACTTTCCTAGCAAACTGTTTAGCTTAGTGGTCAAGGCTCTCTCTCAGGGAGAGATGCAACTTGCTGTCCAAGCCTTACCTATGCAACACTTGAAGTTAGAAGTTCAAGGTTTGTTCATTTTAAGGGCTGAAGTCTCTCCCCACATTTAGCCATGAGGGTTAAAAACACTGAGGCAGACAGATGGGGTCCCAAGAGCAGTGACCTGCTCTCTAGGTGGAACCTTCCCAAGGAACCCTACCACAGCGAACCTCTCCTTTGGCAGGTATTTGGCTGCTCAGGGACAGCCACCAGACCTCTGAGCCTTACACCCAAGCTGCCCAGCATCATCTCCTCTCAGCTCTGTCTCCAGCAGCTCTCCCTAGCTTTGGAAAACCAAATGGGAGTGGAATAAAGATAAAGGCTTTGGCTCAGCAGAGGTAACGCATTCAGAAAGTGAGGAAAGGTCTGTCCCTGGGAATGAAGCTCTCCTAATCCCTCTTGGATTTGCCACTGCTGAGACCTCCTGCAGCCGGGCAGCAAGCAGCACCTTCCCAAGGAGGGGATGGGCCCTTCTCAAACCAGCACCTGCTTTTGATGAGAGCAGTGTGGTGGTGACAGGAACAAAACATGACAGTCGCATGTTGCAGAGACACTCCATCAAAGCGGCCCTC